ACTCGGTCTATATATTTCTTTATGTTCTTTTAGATAAAGTTAAGTTCTGGTCACACGAGTACTTCACTTAATATGTCTAATAATGTGAAAGAGGATGTCATTAAAGACACAATTCTGCGAAGATTCCCCCCGAAAATGTGTTTGAAGACAAATATTTGTTTTAAAAATACATATAGGGTGTTCTGTTGTATGCAGAAAACCTAAATTTGGTATTCTTTCATCAATATTGGACTGCAAACACATTCGTTTTTTAAACCATGGATCTATCATCGAGGTGCTACTGCTGCTGCTGCTGATGTAATACCAAAGCTCCTCCTATCTCCTTGGTAATACTTATTCTCGGCTGTAATCTCTTTACAAATAAATGCCAGTAATCAAATGGTACCGAATTATGTTTTTTTTTTTTTTTTTTTTTTTTTTGGTATATATTTTCTATTAATTTGATTCTTGAAACAATAACTAATGAGAATAGCCCTGATACAAAATACAGAAATAAATACTTTTCGTTTCGGGCAATCCTCAGGCATATCTTATAATTTGTGACGATGTAGAAAGTGCTTTTGAAGTATTTTGGAATAAGTTTTATTATCTTTTTAATAAACATTTTCCATATGTGCAATTAAACGACAAGAGAAAAGGAAATCATCCATGGATTACTAGAGGGATACTTAGATCGATAAAAAGAAGAAACGTCCTATATAAAAGAAGTATGAAAAAACGATCACCAGATAATGTTGAAAAATACAAGAAATATAGAAATAAATTAACATCAATTATATGATGTTCACGTCGTTTATTTTACTCTAAGAGGTTTGAAAGTGCAAATGGCAATATTTCATCTACCTGGACAATTGTAAAGGATATTTTATGCAAGCAAGGAAAACATGAAGTTCCAGGGAAAATTGTTCATGGTAATAAAGAAATAACAAATGCAGAAGATATTGCAAATGCATAAAACACTTATTTTGTCAATGTTGGCCTAAATCAAGCCAAGATGATAAATAAAGATGGAACCAACTTCACACAGTACCTCAATGAACCATCTAATACTTCTATTTTTCTAAAACCAACGGATTACATTGAAATTCTCAATGTAGTGAGATCGCTAAAAAACAGTCACTCTTCTGGGCATGATGAAATCAGTACATTTTTATTGAAAAAGATCATTGGTTCAATTCTAACGCCTCTTGTACACATTTGCAATCTTTCTTTGATGACCGGAGTGTTTCCTTCTTCTTTCAAACTGGCAAAGGTGATTCCTGTTCATAAAAAAGATGACGTGATGGTCGTTTCTAACTATAGACCAATCTCATTACTGCCTAGCTTTTCTAAAGTTTTGGAACGAATTGTTTATAACAGGCTCTATAGTTTTTTAGATAAATGTGAATCATTGAATCCTGATCAATTTGGATTTCGGCGGTCTCATTCTACAGATCTTGCGCTACTGAAATTTTATGATCGCGTTTCAAGTGCACTCGCTGCTCACGAGCATGTCATTGGTGTATTTATGGATCTGAGTAAAGCATTTGACACACTTGGCCATTCAATTCTTCTTTCTAAGTTAGAGCATTATGGAATAAGGGGCATAGCTTTACAATGGCTTGCGAGTTACTTATCTATGAGAAGACAGTACACTTATTATAACTCTGTTAACTCTGACATTCTGTATCTTAAATGTGGTGTTCCGCAGGGATCCATCCTGGGCCCATTATTATTTCTTATTTATATCAATGATATTTGTAATGTATCTAAAACTTTAAATTATACCTTATTTGCAGATGATACGAGTGTTTTCTTGTCTCATCGTGAAATCAACACTCTAGAACAGAAACTAAATTCGGAACTACCAAAGTTGACTTTATGGTTTAGAAGTAATGTGCTCTCTCTCAATGTTCTTAAAACAAATTATATTCATTTTAGAGGTAGAAAATCTAATGACAACCTTGCTCTTAATATTAAACTAGATGATATTTCTTTAGAGAGAAAGACATGTACGAAATTCCTTGGTGTCTATATCAATGAAAAACTTGACTGGAGCGACCATGTAAAACACATTGTTACACCAATCTCCAGAAATATTGGCGTACTGTATAGAATAAAATGTTTTGTTTCTGATAGAATATTACTTATGCTATATAATAGTCTAATTTTACCACACATTTCTTATTGTAATATTTTGTGGGCAACATCCAAGTGTGTGACTAATAATATTCTTCTGTTACAAAAGAAAGCTGTACGCATATGTACCCGAGCTGGTTATCGTGACCATGCTACCCCACTTTTTGTTAAACTGAAATGCTTAAAGATTGATGATATTAACTTCCTCCAAATTGCCATATTTATGTTCCGTTTTAATATCAAATTATTACCTACGTCATTATCTTCAATGTTCCAACCTAATAACATGGTTCATTCGTATTCAACAAGGCAGTCATCGAATTTACATGTGGTCAATCCTCACACTACATTAGCCCAGAAATCAATCAGACACAGAGGTCCAGATGTATGGAATTCTTTACCTAATGATATTCGAAATATAAAATCAACAAACTCTTTTAAAAGAGCACTCAAATGTATTATCATTTCACAGATGTAAGATATTACTTACATTATAATCTATTTATCAGTTCTAATTAAATCTAACATAATTTTGTTACTAGGCCTAACGAAAAAAAAAAATTCTTTCTTTTTTTAAAACTTTGTAAATAGTGTAAATAGTTCACTACATAACTTTAGGAATTTTAATTGTCATATATGATATATTTGAAAGGTGTTGTAACGATTCAAGCTCTATTTGCTTATGTTTCATCACCTTTGTGTGTTCATTCTTCAAACTGTATAGTTGCAACTTGTCTTTGATAAAACAATGTTATATTCTTTTTCACGTGAAGTTAATTCAAATGTATTGTAAAATTGAAAATGATTTGTCATCTTATATTAATTTTCATGTGATGTTAACTTCAATGAATTGTGAAATTGTGAACATGCATAAATAAATAAATAAAATAAATCTTATGATCTGATGTTACGTTTGTAAAAATCAAAAGAATGAAAAGATTGAATAGTGACAATGACAGTGATGATGTTGATGATGATGATGATGACAGTGATGCAGTGTAATCGATTGCCTATATTTCTGATGTAAACGTAGGCGAAAGACGGTGATGATGAAGATGATGAAAATGATGATGATGATGATGATAGCGCTAGAAAACATTGATAGTGATGACGACAATGATACCATGAAAACGTTTTTTTTTAAATTATTATTAATGACGACGTAGACGATGATACCGGTGATAAAAAAAGATGATGATAGAGACAACAATATAAGTATTGTTTTTAAAATGCCGTTGGGATTTAAGCTTATCATTTTTTAAACTGCAAATGGGACATATAATACCTTTAATACCAATCATTCCTACAATAAGGTCACTTGAGAGAGCGAAAGAAAGATTGAAGGAGAGGAGGAGATAATTTTGAGAAGAAAAGAAACCATCTCTCCTACTAAAGAATGATAGGTATTGCTGTGAACATGATTTATATTCAGATACCTGAGCAATTAACAAATTATACATTCAACAACAACAACAAACCCCCCAATGTTGTACTTTTTTAGTCATGAATTTAATGAAATATTATGCAATCTTTTTATTAGCCTTCCATCATCAAAAATTTACAAACGCATTCACATTTCAAAGTTATCATTCTGGCTGCCTCATTACCGGTTTACAATCTCTGAGTGCCGCACTCAAAATTCTAACATTACTTTGTTGCACGCTTCTTTATTCATCTTTTACATTTTCGATAGCAATACTAACTTGTATACTAAATCCATTTTATATAGAATGCCGTCTTACATGAAGGCAATAGGGACTTTTAGATTTGCACGAAGCCAATGTGGATTGCTACGATCGACGTCCTTTTAATGCACTGCCTTGAATGGACGTCACACGTATCAGTCCACGCAAATCTAAAAGTCCCTAATTAGAACGACAAAACTCGTACAACTGACAATGCGGCAAAGGGATGTTACATACAATGTAGTACAGTAGTGGGTATATACATGTACTAGCGTGCAGCCTAAAACGATCGTATACAAATTCTACTCTATTTTTTGTCGATTGCAATATAGTTACTTTACACCTGAATATATCGTGATCGCCTTTATTTTATTTCATATTATCTCAATAGGGTCAAATTAAATACCATCAGGTCACTATTATATAGTTGTATATACAGTACCGAATTCTATCAATTTATTTGCATGTCCATGAACATTATAACCGGAAATTCAGGACTATTAACCACATCAAAAACTTGTGCGTACAAAATAATACAGTGTTTATACCACACGTTTTTTTTGATAAATACCCATAGTTAAATGATAACACTGAACAAGGCCTAAAAATAGCATAGGACCATAAGTCATCTAATGAAAAAGAAATACAAAGATGAATATCAATGACATCCAATATTTTCACCCAAGTTTACTCCCGTGTTTGTAGTTCAGAAAGTGTAATGAAAAAGAGCTGTTAGGCAATTTTTGTGTAAGTCGAGAGTTTGTATAAATAAAACGAAAGTATAATTATATAATACAGTGTTTAGTACCAGAAAGTTGCAACAAGAAACAAATGAACCTAGCATTTTGCTCCCATTTTTCACTGTAAAAATGAACAATTATCGGGTTGTTGACAAAATACAAGAGAGCTTTCTTTACAACGCTGGGTTTTCTGTTGGATTGTTATTTTGACTGCAAAAAGTGATCGACCAAAATGGTTTTTAATGGTAGTGAGCACTGATTTTGTATTTTTCCTCGTCTCCACATAAAGATGACATTAAGGTTTTTTCCCAGGGGTGGGGGTCCGGCCCCCACCTGGATCCGCCAATGATTGAAGTTGCCCTTCAATTAATTTTTCGAAAATAGTTGCGAATTAAGTGATTAAATTATGATATATATATATCTAATACTTTCACAAACTTTGGGTTACTTATCAATCATTCATCAAATTTATAAAAACATTGAGTTTATTCACTTTGTAACGGAATGACATAGAAGGCCGATTTTTGATAATAAATAAATAATTTTTTATCCACAGTGATGGATTTAATCAGGTGAAGTATACTTATAACACATTGTGGTTGTATTGCACCTGTGGGTGATCGAGGAACTAATAGGCCGGTTTAATCATAAAAACAAGCAAATAAGAAATAAACAACGAAAATATTTCAGACGCCAACTACAAGTATTCACTAATGATCTTCATTTTGATCTCTTATCCATTTTTAACAAGGGATAAAGATTTATGGGGCCGTTTGTCATCCCTTGTCGTTGTCCTTTTGAGAAAGCAACCAAAATGTAGTCTGCTGCCCTTTGCCCTGTTAAAAGAAACAAAAATCACATTAAATATTTTTCACAAATATCCAGTGAATCGATCTGAAAGAATTTAGATATGTAGTGGTGATGGTTATTTTACCCGACTGCTAAGAAAGCATAAATGCTTTTAAGTAAGCAACCAGACAGCCGACGGCTTTAGGTCCTCTCCGAGGGACCTGGTGAATAGGATTAATGCCTTACCAAAGGGCACTAACGCATCGACATGGTTTCGAACCCGGGTCACCGGATTACGAGACCACTGCTCTACCGATAATGAGCTACCGCGCCTCTGTGAGACCGGTAGGCCTACACTGTTCAACATTTTTTTTTTTAAGTCTCCTTGCCTTTATGAAGATGTTATTTAAAACATAATGCCTACTCATATTTTTTGTTTAAGGATCTATTTTTCGTTTCACTCCACCTTTAATCTGTTCTAATCTATTTTATGTACGAATGTCTATTTCATAGAAGATAATAACATGTCTTTGGTTCAAATCAATCGCAAGTCCTCGAATCAATATATCGCGAGTTTACAGTCCCCTATATCTTATGTAATACATAAGAGAGTTGCGATTGGTGTCAATCGCAAATACGTTGCGATTGATCACAACTGTTTATAGAGGGGCCCCAGATATCGAAATTAGAAGTGGAATATTTCTTAATCGAACGGATAAATATGGGGAAGAATGCACTAAATAAACAAGTACACACCTTCATTTCCACGAGTCCTCGAAGCTCGAGCACGAAGATTTGAAACTTGTCTAGAATCGTCTTACACGTCAAACTTGTGTGAATCTTGAGCGCTGGAAGAAAAACATGTAAATCCCATTATCGTAAATGTGTATGATTCACAGTATTTTGTGATTAAAGAATAATGTTGCTTTAGCCAAACATAAATGAGACAGTACTGGCGGAATGATAAGAGGTATCCTAAAGAGAACCTCCTGTCTGCATCAAGCAAACATGGGCACATTTTGGGGGAATTTCGCCTCCTTCCTACATTGTAAATACATGTAGACATACAACCTGCTTTAGTGACCACCTGTCTACAAAGACCACATTTTTTGTTTCCCTTGAAAATGGTTTCTCGTTGAAACATGTACTAAAGGAACCTGTCTACAACGACCACTATTTGTGTTTCCCTTTGGCGGTCGTTATAGACGGGTTTGACTGTATTATGTACATCTACATGTTAATGTTCGTTTTGATTTCAAGGAAGAAATAAATTTGTTCAAAAAGTATGTCCTACCTTCTCCGGTAGATTCCATTCGAGAAGTGGTGTTGACAGTGTCTCCGAACAAACAGTACCTTGGCATCTTAACACCTATTACACCAGCTACACAAGGACCTGAAATCAAAGTATGATGGAAACATTATAAACGTTCTTTACACCATGGCGGACAGTATCAATCCATTTGAGATGTGGTGTTGACAGTGTCTCCAAAGAGACAGTACCTTGGCATCTTAACACCTATTACACCAGCTACACAAGGACCTGAAATCAAAGTATGATGGAAACATTATAAACCTTCTTTACACCGTGGCGGACAGTATCAATCCATTTGAGATGTGGTGTTGACAGTGTCTCCAAAGAGACAGTACCTTGGCATCTTGACACCTATCACACCGTCTACACAAGGACCTGCAATCAAATTATGATTGATATATATAGTACACTGTAGGATTAGCTTGATATGAAGCACTTTACTATCATATTCTGTGATGAGTGACATTAATTCATAAATCGTGTGTCTTTTGGAAAGTAGGGAAAGTAAAATCAATTTTCGTCCAGTCTTTTTTGGTGGTTGTCATATTTTATAAAGTATCAGATTAAATTTACAAAATACCACTAGAATTATTTACACTGAAGAAACAAGGGGCTTGTGTTTACGTATGCCTGAAACAAAAGCGACTCATTACCTGAATGTATACCAGCTCGTAGTTTGAGCTGCTCATCGGGGCGATGCCTGATCTTGAACGATGTGACTGCACCAAGAAGCGCGAGGGACATCTGCGCAATCTCACGAGCATGCGCAAAGCCGTTCCTTATCGGTAGTCCCGATACCACCATGTACGCATCTCCAATAGTCTCGACCTTTATATTAAAGATATAATATAATAATACTAATAATAATAATAAACTGGATTTATATAGCGTTTGGTACCGTCTCTAAGAGCTTTACAGATATTAAATCCGGTCATCGAATTCATTCACGCACCATGTGCACCATCTCCACTATATGGTCACCTTGAGGGCATATGGCAATTACTAACTCATGTATTCGTCATAATAACGGGTCCCCATTTCTCCCCTAAGTATGAAGTGGCAAATATAGAGTAATGCCTTGCAAAGGACATTAGTACCGTGTCGGGGATCAAACCCACAACCTATGTATTTCAAGTTGAGTGGACTGCGCTAAGTGTAGCTTCTTGTACCCTCTATATAGCCAACAATGCCTAAGCGGTACCAGTAGATGCCCCACGATCCCCTTTTCCTTATATTAACTGAGAGCTGATTTGATGAGATAACCACCTGCCAGTGACCAGGCAAAGTGGTCTAATTACTGCTGGCCAAACGAGTGCAGATAGGCTTTAAACCACTCGACTACCACACATCTAGATCACGGAAGCGGCAATCAAAGGCGTTGTAATGAATGAATTAGAAAAACTGTTCCATATTGATTATATATCCATATTGAAAAATATGTTGACATAAACCCTAGGCTAGCCCAGGGGGAACAAAACAACCTCGGCACCCCTCTTTTGGGAGAGATATGAAGAAGAAGACATGAGGATTGCCCGTTAGAGAACAGTAGTATATTCCGTGGGAGGGGGTCCTGCTGCTGCTGCTCCCTTCGTTATGGGCCTTATAGAGAAGAAACAAATCATATTTCCAGGAAATTCAACAAATTCTGCTCCTACTTTCAATTTAAATAACACAAATGTCTATCTCTAAATGGACAATAAGGATTTGGAACCTTAATCTGCTCTACAAAATATGGCTTTATCAAATATATATGTTCATTATTTGTAAGCCCCCGAAGGTCAATTCCTTATAAAACAGAATTGTGAATTTATCGTAAAGTCCATTAGACTGGTGTGATTTCGCTAATTCGGACTGAACATTCTATATGATAACATCAAACAACATACCTTATATACGTCGAAATTAGCGATAATGCTGTCGAAACACGTGTACAAATCATTTAAGAGAGCAACAACCTACAAATGGGGGGAACAATTAGGAAATGAAAATGATCAAATTTATGGACGGCCATTTTGGTATTTGTATAACTTGTGAAAAACATTTAACAACTTGCAAAATGATTAAGAACACTTTGTATCTAACGCGTAGTTTAAGGTTTTACCAACCTTAACATGTAGTAGGCAAGCTTTCGTCCATTCCTGTGGATTTTCTCAAGACAAGTGATTATTCACACACTTTCTTTGTATTCGTTCAAAAAAAAATTTCACAAGGTTATGTTGACTATGTCATCCGCCTGTTTATGATAAATCACCCTTTTAAGAACTTTTTCATTAATTTTGTTACTATACCTGACGTTCGTGACGCATCCTATTTCATGTTTGGTGTAACTTATGGCATGTTTTTCTAGACTTCTAGCAATTCTATTATATTTCTATAACAATTCTAACCGCAACAAAAAAATTGAATAAACTCACCTCTAGGGGTGTACTCTGAGAGGACAGGGAGGTGAAACCAACGATATCGCTAAAGAAAATGGTAACATTCTCGTAAGACTCGGGGTCGACAGACTTTCCTTGCTTCAACTGCTCTGCTACAGATCTAAGGTAGATATCAAAACATTTTTGGAAAATGCAATTTTAATAGGAAGCGTCATGGATCCAAACTTTTCATAATCCTTTTTCGTAATCCTTTACAGACAAATAAAATGTGACAGGCAACAGGGAAATAACTTGCAAATCCCATATATCTAGGAAAGAAATTGTTAAAAGTGACAAGTAGTCCGGAAGTACCTTTAACAAGAGGACATTAGTCAATAATTTGTAGCACATATGGAAAGCATCTTATAAAGATGGCAGCTAACTGTGAAACTGGAACATCCTTGCAAGTGAAGAGCACATCTGCCAAAATCCGAGTATAAATGAGGGGCAGGTACCTCTGGAAGTCTGGAGTATCTTATAAAGATGGCAAATTATCCGGAGACAATATTCTAAAGGTCTTCCGTACACCATAAGCACCCATTGAAAGTGTAACTTAATCTTGGATGTACCTCCTATAAGGGGAAGGTAATTGGAAAGTACCATACAAAGATGGCTGATACCTGGCTTGTAGGCTATAAATGTGTCAAGAACCCCGGGAAGCACCTTTTAAAGTTGAAACGTACCTGGGAAGCACCTCATACAGCAGTGTCTCCGATCGTTTCTTCTCTTCCAGGAAGGCTGCAGTCCTTTCTTCGACCAAGGACTCCAGGTTGGTTGCGTACTGCTCCATACGATTCAGAAGGTTGTCCAAAATATTGCCACCGCTGGATGTTCCTCTAGAAAAAAATGACAAGATCGCAACTACTATCGAAAATTCAATTTCAATACCTTATTGTATGTCCCAAATAAATCATGTTCAGATTACATAACATGTCAAATATTCGCACATTTCAAAAGATTACGTACGTGGCCATTGGAATTGCCTTACGTTGGTTTTGTGAACGTAGTTGCGGTCGTGTTAAATGCAATGGCAGTGATCAGTGATCAATGAAAATATTTCAGCATATTAGCGAAACACCGAGGTAAACAAACCGATTTAATAAGTTGTCAGAATTTTTTTTCTCCAAGATTTAATTTCCAAAGATTATGATATCATTTAAGATGAAGGTCTATTTTGAAATCACATGGAAGAGGGAGTCAATATTATCCAAACACTGTGTCTCCCTGATCACTCCAAAAGGTGTTTCAAGTCATGACTAGTCACGAACACCTAAAAAACTAATAACATGTAATCAAGAACAGTGGCATAGTGTGGGTCCAACTACTTGGGGGAAAAACTGGTTTCAGGGGCCACCAAACTTACTAGGTGAATGTCAGAGAACAAAGCCATAAAGTACAAGAGTGTGGGTGGGAGGGGATCGTATATTCTTTCATTTTAGCCTTCCCCTCTTTTTATTTTTATTTCTTTATTCTAGTTTTGTCTTTGTCTTTTTTTTTTATTGGGAGGAAGTGCCCCCTCCCTGTATTTACCCCACCGGGTTTGAACTATGGCTTGATTACACGACTGATAACTGCATGTTAATACTTGTTGATCTTCTTGAGCGCAGTCTGCAAGGCACTGGCCGTCGGTCGGTCACCTGGGTTCTCGGCCCAGCATCGTTTCATCAGGTCCTTGATCACGGGGTTCCATGCAGCTTCTGGTACGGATGGACGAAACGGTGGTTGGCTGCTGGTCGACTTCAGTGTCTCAAGGATTCCTGTGGATGATGGTATCGAAAACGTTGACGATGAACTATAGAAATGAATGGAAATCCTGTTTCTTCATAACATCAGTGTTACTGTTATAAAAAGTTGCGATTGTTCCGAATCAATCGCAAGTTTGCAGTCTCCTATCTGTTATATACATAGTTGCGATTGATCACAACTGTATATAAGACGGGGCCCAGAATGGGGATTTCAAGTGCAACGTAAAGGCATCAATACAGTTTTGTTTTTGTTTTGTTTTTTATTTCGAAGACTTTATTTTCTGCAATCAAACAAATCAGTTATACAACAATATACAAAATATAGAAACAAATGTATAATACATGAGTAAGAGTAAATTTATACGTTGGGCCATTGCGTGTATAAAGAAAGAAAGCAGAAGGTCGCCGTTGTAAGCAAAAGCTTGTGCAGACGGTCAACCGAGCTAAGATAAAAATGAGTTGTGAAATATTGGCAATGTAACAAGAAGAGGGGGCCATGATACTCAAATGATATATATTACAATTAAATGTGTTTATAAACAGTTGGATTCAATATAAATAATTATAGAATTAGCATATGAATCTCATCTTTATGTTGTATGGAAGCCGGCGTGCATTTCCCCTCTCTATATCAACCCCGACGCTGTTTAATTCTCAGAGAGTGTCATGTCCTTTCAAAGTACAGGGCGGAAACACATATGCCCTCGCCATCGGTGTCGGTAAATTCCCCAGATTCTTTCTTGTGCCCCCCCCCCTTGAATCATCCGACGTTTCGATCATGTAAAAGTTTCACTAAGATTGTATGTTATAGAAAAGGACACTTAAACAAAGTTTATATCATGTCAAAATAGACTTATCACTTGCACCCCCTCCCCCTAAAGATGCCCCTGCACTTGACAGAAGAAGTGGATAAATTTACCATCTGTATCCATAACTTTTCTTTCCTCATCGAACGGTCCGCACCGCGTTCCGATCTCGAGCATGATGATACCCAGTGCGTATAAGTCTCCCTCTTTTGACGGTAAACTGGAAGGGTCGCGGAGTCGCTCTGGTGCTCGCCACAACAGCTCTTAAAACCAAGAAAGAACATCGAGTTTTCTAAGTTAATTTACAGAAATGTATACGCCTACTTTTCATTTACAATAATTTATATGCAACTCATTTCTGTTTGACTGATTTAACACAAACTCAACAAATACCATAGATCTGTAATTCATCCGGCTTATAATTTAAATGCCTTCTGGTTTGGTTTCTATTAACTACTGATTGCATTATACTAATCATACTGATTAAGTACTGAATTATCATATTCCCCATAGGTTTAATACAGTTCCCGTTTGCAATGGGTTAAAAGAGAATCGTTTCAGCTACTTATAATTGCATGCACACAGAGGTAAGAATTTCAACAAAACGTTCTTAAAATCAGTATTTGACATGTTATGTATAGGCCACAATCATTATCAAAAGCATATAATATTGAGGCAGAAGTTTTATTTCTTCTTACTGTAATTGTTATCTTCATATTTGTTGGAGTTTCGGAAAGACGGTATGCCGAAGTCGGTGATCTTCAGGACGAACCGGCCATCGACCACACAGTTAGATGATGTCAAGCGACCATGGACTCCGATGACGCTGTCGTGGATGTAGTTGAGACCCTAAAGAAGAATGATCGGACAAAAGTGGTTTAAGATTACCTAAATAATGATTCATGCAGCTGAAGAATACAGAAGTCGAGAGTACACCCGTTGTATTTCATCGTAGACCGAACCGTGTTACTGCTCTCAACACTACATCCCATCACATTATCATATCACTGCTACAAACACAGTAATAAATAACTCCCATCAGTCCAAATCACAACGCATCTTAACTGGGATCAGCTTATCGAAACCGTCATATTTTGTTGAAATCGCCTTAAATTAGTTTTATACTCAATGTTATAACATACGTTCTAATGGGAAACATTGTATTACATTACACCACACAACACCTCACAACACTAGTCTCCAGTGCACTACGTCACACCACACCAACTACACCACTTCGCAATACATTGCACTGCACCACACCAATTAGCACCATTGGTCAATAGCTCATGATGAAGAACGAGACGTCGCCACACTGCACCATTTCACATTATAGTCGTCCTCACTACACTGTTTCACATCACACCACACCCTGCCTATTTAAACACAGCACACAATTTAACAAAAAACTGCACCTTTCCACACCACATTATATTGATTCTCGCCTCACCGCATTACACCACACCTCACTGGTTTACCCAACACTGCATCACAAAACACCGTGTCACAACACACTGTGTCACCACACCATACCACTCCCAACATCACATCATACTTTAACTGATGTCCAATACTGTACCTCACCACAGTGTATAACATCGGTCTGCGCCATGCTGCACCAAACGACACACTGGTCCACGCGACACTTCGCCTCACAACAGTGCACCACACCAGTTTAATTCCATCACACAACACCATACCACGCCACATTACAGCATACCGCACCTCAATACACTACACCACAACCCATCCCATCATACAAAGATTCAACATCACATCTAACTTCTACACCCCTTCACATTATATTACACCTCCCCCGCACCGCATCTCGCCAGTTAACACCACACTGTACCACATAGCACCACACTGGTCTTCACAACACTCTATCACACGACACGTTTCTACATCGCATGTAACTTCTACACCATCCACATAATAGTACACCTCCCCGCACGGCATCACACAAGCTAACACCACACGACACCATCGCACTAAACCCAAACGAATCAAATGTACCACACCATACCACACTTGTTCCTACAGGCTGCGCCACACGACACTACACTACACTTCACAATGAAATCAGATGTCATACCATATTACACAGCACTGCACTATTTTTATTACATTAAACCCTACAAAATCATATACCAGTCCACACCATGTACCACATCATACCACACCCCTCCCTACCACACTGTGGCACACGACATTACACCACACGTCAACAAATGAAATCAGATTATGTTACTCACCCTAACTGCATCCATTAGTAAAGATTGTCTAAACATCCAGTCAAGCTTCAGCTGGTCATTCTCCAAGATATCCTTTAAAAAAAGAAAAAGTAAGAAAAAATTCCCATGTCTATCATTATTGCGTCATCATTATGCTAAGAAAATGGGCTTTGGGAAATCAAAAAGGAATTATCTCAGACTGGCGAAAAGGGAAAATATAAATAGACTGATAGATAGATAGAAATAAAGCTAGATGGATAGATAGATGGATAGATATATCATATAAAGGTGTATCCAATTTTTGCATTAGCAAACTGTGAATCATAATTTCATAATTTCATGATATTCAAATTTCAGGACAACCGTATAAGAAGAAAAAAAAAAACTTAACCTAGTTGATTTGTTTATTCAAACATTTAGAGATGTGGGGAGGAAGCGGATATAGGGTAAACGTGCATGTTTGTCAAAGACTAATGAAAGTAGTCATGTCTTAAATCGGAATCAAGAAAGCATTTTCCTCTAAATATCAAATGGATGTTTCATCCTCTTCAAAAATTAAGAGTTAAAACATGAGTGGATAGGCAAGCAAACGGTCTACCTCATGCCAAATCCCACGAGAGCAGATCTCAATCAGGGACTAAAGAGGGGTAATGTTATTACGATTTCATCCTCGTAACTTGGATAAGAAGTGAATGGAGTGCTCCAGGGCAGGCAAAATTAATGTCTTTATTTGAAGACTCGCACAGGGCAGTACTTCATCATGATCAAATTGTCGCTATAATTTCATTCTCTTAAAAGGAAAGTCCACCTTGATATTAGGTTAGTTTTAATAGAAGCAGACAAATGAAAATAAGAAATATGTGAAAGTTTGAGCAAAAAACGTAAAAAATAAGAAAGTTTTGAATTTTTGAAGGTCCAACCAATCAAACACAAATTGGCAACTCTGTGGCCTAGCTTGCGAGGTTCCCTCCCATTTGTTCTGTACTCACAAACTTCAAAAATCTATATTTTCCGTTAAGAAAGTGTTCAATCGTTCATTTACCCCTAACATTTTTGCAAATACGTTTTAATACAACCCATGTATGAACCAAATCTTTTCCGTCATCAATAACTGAGAAAATGAAAGTATGATGACACTTTTCTATACACTTATCAAAATCAATTTTAAAAAGGATGGGCTTCCCCTTAAAAGAGAAGATTGAGTTCTGCTAAAGGTGGAATAAGGTTGTGAATTTGCTCATAAGGTTTATTTGGATGCTATTCAAATGCCCTCCTATTCAAAATATGACAAAAAATACCTGAAGCGTTTGGACCAAATAGTTATGGCACATTTGTGTGGGTTCCACACGTCAATTTCCGGTGTGAGTAGTATATTAGGTTTTAATCATAACTAAGTCAACTTTCTACGATGATACTGAAACCTCAGAATATACGCCATTTTATATGTCTTCATGTTTTTAACTTACTTTCCAAGTTACCTCCAGACTTCCTAGACAGTGTTTATTTCCCCACAATTTTACCATATACATGACTAGAATTCAACTTTATCTTTAATACGAATACGAGATAAATGAAAAGAAGACGAGAAGGCATAGTTTACTTACTTGAAGACTCCCACGAGGACAGTACTCGGTCAGAATAGCTTGGTCTGGCGGATCTACGCATGCGCCAACGAACCGTACAACATTCGTGTGCTCTAGATTTCTCATCTGTAATGTCGTAGGGAAATGGAGAAAAACATTTCGTGAGTGACAAGAGTGAAAAAAGAGAGAGAGAGAGAGAGAGAGAGAAAGAGAGAGAGAAGAGGAGAGGAAGAAATGGGAAAGAACTAAAGTAAGTGTGGGCGAGCGTGCCCGTTTGTGTGTGTGTGTGTATGTGTGTGCGTGTAAGAGAGAGAGAGAGAGAGAGAGAGAGAGAGAAAGAATGTGTGTGAGAGAGAGGGAGAGACAGACATAAATAGATATGGGAGGGTGGGGGAACGGGGAGAGGAACAGAAGAAGGATAAACAGATAAAGACAGAGCGAGATATAAAGAGAAAACAAATACGAGTGCTAACTGTGAATTACACTATCATTTCGTGTAACAAATCATGATAAACAATGATATCAATTGATTAACAAAGGAAAAGATAAAGAACTGCACAGTGTGGATAAAAGAGAGGGATAAAGACATGTAACATGACCAGGTTTTTTTTAAACCCCCTCCCCTTCTAGTGAATCCGGGATCTGCCACCGGACACATGAGGAGGGGGAGGGGGTGATAGCAGGTGGCAATGCTAAAGTAGAAAAAGGGAGTGAGACGGGATAATTTGGGAGCGAGATCGTGGATATACCATGTATATTAAGAGGGAGAAAGTGAAAGAAAGGAAAGAGAGAGAGAGTATGGAAGAAGAGAGATAGGCAAAACTAGAAAATGAAATCAGAGATAAACATTGGACGGATACAGATAGAGAGACGGGCAGAGAGACGGACAAAGAGAGAAAGAGGGGGCAGCAGGAGAGAAAGAGAGAGAGAGAGAGGGGGGAGAGGGGAGAGAAGAGAGAGAGAGAGAGAGAGAGAGAGAGAGAGAGAGAGAGAGACAACCAGCCAGATAGACAGACAGAAATCGAAATGAAAGAGCGACCTACAGATAGAAACATAACATGAAAGGAGTGACAGTGATTGCGACAAAAATTGAGAATGAATGGAGGGAAAAAGAAAGAGAGAGAGAGTGGGGGGGAGGGGATTGAGAAAAACAATTACGTTTGAAAATGGGAAAAGGAGGATAATAAATAGCAGAGAATAAAACGGTTTCACTTACATTTCTGAGTTCCATGAGTACTCTTCTGTTTAAGTCAATTTTGCTTTGGCCTATTTTCTTCACCATGACCATGCGACCCTGAAAATTGACATAAATTGATTGTATTGTAGAGGTGGCAGGGGTATAGTAAATCAATTTGTCAAAAAGTTCTAACACTATTAAAGTGATCAATTTCTAATTATTACGTCCTATCAGCCATCGCCAACAGTCAGTTTAATTCGTTGGAGTTTCATTTTGACGAATTAAATTTTTGAATGCCTACATACAAAAAATGCGGCGAACATATTACGATTGGTTAAAGGTACTATGTCCCATTTGCAGGCCAAAAAATGAAAAAGTTAAATTCCAACTGCATTTGAAAGATAATACTTATTTAGAACTTCCCTAAAAAAGGTTGGGCTTGAAAATGTCTTCAAGTGGGAAAATAACGACTATTAGTTGTCAAATCAACTTAAGGGCTATAGAGCCGAAAAGTAATAGTCTTGATTTTCAGACAATTGTGCCGAATGGTCTTTCGTTTTATGCTGCGCAAAGATTCAATCAGTTTAATCTTGGCCATCACAAGAAGTGGGTTATTGATGTAGACAAATGCTCATGTACCCTTTACAACTCTTTTTATGTATGTTATTACCAAAGAAGAAAAAAGCCAGTCAGTCACTCAATAGTGTCTGACAGTGAAGTCTAGCAAGTAAACGGGTTTCCTTGCATAATTTGAATATGAGGACACTGCTAAGGTTTAAATTTCACAGATAGAACATACATGACATATTCATAATTCCTGCAAAGTTCTACAGCATTTGAGGTTGGCTGCAAAAGGGACATAGTACCTTTAACAGAAGGGGGATGCCAGAAGAAAAAAACCATTAATGACGGACACGATTTAGAAGAGGTGGAATTAGCTAAATGATTGAAAAAGCAACTTTGAAGTTGTGTTTTCCCGCCAGTAAGTATGAGAACACATTCGATTGTTACTCTTCCAATAATTGGTAATTCAAATAGAATAATTTTTTTTATAATACGTAACGAACAATGATAAAGAAATAAAGAAAAATGCATATCATTATTAAATCGAGCTTTAACAGGTTGAATGTATACTTTTGTGTGAGATAACACGAAGATATTGATAGAAAGATGGGTATTCTGTCATCTTTTGAAGTGTTAAATGTACGAATTTACAAATGTCGAGAGCAAAACATACCTGAATTGACACATCATGTAACCAGAAAGGACTTTATTAATGTAAACCATGAAACTAGGTAAATGACAATTTTCATGTATCTAAATCATCATGACATGGCAGAGAATATCACCATCATTTCCCTGACAAAATTACTTCTGCTAATAATCATCTATAAACTATTAATAATTTACGAAAATGTTTGCAAAATTTAATAATGAGCATTTCGGTAATGCATGATTGTATGCAAGCTTCGTTTTCACGCTTCTTGCAGCGAGCCATTCCGTTTCCTATTAACATGTATATCATTATTTATTAATTTATATGTTAACATGATTGATATTGCGACTTACTTTGTACCTGGCAACAGTGGCAAATATTTGGCCGCCATCTTGGATCTCTTCATTCATGGATCTCTATTGAAAATGGGATAAGATGCAAATGAACAATTACGATGAGTATTATAAAACTGTGAAAACATTAAGTTCATTTTCGGCCAAACTTAAATTCTTCTAAAGATTTGAAATCATGCTAAATCCTAGAATTTTGGTACCTATATATGAATATTAGTGTGGTATAACATTTACCCCCTAAAATGAAATAACATTAAACGTATTTTTTGTTGTGAGAATTGCAATGTCATATTTCATTACAGATTTGAATACATACACATAATTTATTGACGAAAGTGGAAGTAGATGGAGAGGTGATGAATGTTTAGTAAAAACTGAATTTAGATTATTGACAAAAAAAACAACAACAAAATTCAGATATAGAGAAGAATGGAACAAATACATGTACCTATATAGAATATTACGCTCAATGAATAACAGACATAAACATGTATATAGATCGACAGACAACGCAAAAATAGTGAAGAAGAAGAGAGAATCCATGCTTCAAATCCAAACCCTTTTTTTAGTAGGTCTCGAAAATTCGACGTATATTAAATGTTTATAAAGTGATTAGATCGATGGATGATAGACAGACAAATAGAGGGATATGTGTAGAAGGGTATTTAAAGATGGATGAATAGTCAGATGGACTGATAAATGGATGTAGAGATGGAAAGAGAGATAGATGGATAGGAATGTACATAAAGCGTACAGAAAGCACTGAGAGTACCAGTATAAAAGTCAAACACAGTTTTCAATACAAAACAGAAAGATAAAAAAGCTACAAAGAATAAGAGGAAAGCTCAAGAGAGACTTTTCGAGAGCAGGAGATGTAATTTGTGAGTGTGTGTTGGGGTGGGGAGGGTGAGGGAGGGAGGGTGATTTCTTTTAATACCTTTGAAGACAATGCCCTGGAACCAGATGTTGCCGTGGCGACCGATTTACCAATCTCCTCGAAGATGAGCTCCTCCCAAGCAACCTTCCATGACATGCTCATGAGCTCTGCATCAAGGCGATGTTTCCTGAACGAGGATCAGAACATGGTTACCAATTATGATGTTTTGTGAGAGATAATTGGACCCGATTTATGCTTCTATGTGAAAATATTGGAAGAAAGGAAAGCACTAAATATCCCATTTTGACGCAGAGTATCTGCCGTTTTTAGAATTTCTAATTTAGCGGAGTCTTAAATCCATATTGAATATTAAAGCTGAATGTACACATGTAGATCCAGGAAATAAACAAATAGGAAAAGCGAAAAGCGTTGTACAACAAATATTGGTTCATGTTAGAAAAAACACTCCTTTCTAACGCCTCCGAACACACACACACACACACACATAGTTCTAACCCCTCCCTTTCTTACAATTCCGGTTTTGCTCCTGATGAGTATTCCATTAAGGCGAGGCGTCAAAAATAAATATACCAGCCAGCGGCAGCTAACTGCACTTGTGCGTCCTGGCTGCATTTTTTTCAAATTAGCTCAGCCGGCTACCGCTGGCGGTAGGAAATGGCATTCAAAAGCATGCGCCGGCTGCCACCTTTCGAATGGAAACCGAGCCTCAGATCCCAGCCTGGCGCAAGCCGGCTGGGCTAATAAGTGAAAAATAATTGCCCCAGCCAGGTTTCGGCCAATACGTGAGGCGGCAGCCTGCTGGTATCGATATTTTTGACGCCTCGCCTAAGTGTATTTTTCCGATCAATAAAAACCCATCCCTACGCACGCGTACACCTACATACACACGCGCGCACCAACACACACTCACACATTATATTTACACATTCCAAATCTTGAGTAAAATAAAAAATAACATCGGAAAAAACCTAGAATAAGTACATCAAGTTTCCATTTACCACTTTATCAATACTTGAAAAATATTTTGAGAATGTTTACTTGCAGTAACTAACATTTCTTTCCTGACAATCTCTTGTATTGCTGATTTTTCTTTCCAAATCACCATCACCATAAACATAATCAACATATGCAAAACCTCTACCTAAAACAAAGAAGACGTACATTTCTTTACCATATATCCTAGAGCATAAAAATCAATTTAAATCAAATTAAATCAAAAATCAAATCAGAATACGGGGTGTATACACATTTTTAGGATGGGTCCATTAGTACCTGTAAATAACGAAGAGAATGCCCGCCGCTGCCAAGACCACCACCACAGCTACGATGCCAACCAGACCAAGAATAGGGAGCTCATCTGTGTTCAATTCAATCCAGAGAAACGTTACTTTTCTTCATTACTTCTTTTTTTCTTATCTTTATAATTATCAAACGATGTGTATATACATAATGACATAAACAATTGAAGAGAACTTCAGCACTGTAAACACAAGGGAGAGAGCGTAAATCCTATAAACAATGCAATATAAATATGAGAATGAAAGAGAAGTATAGACGCATATAAGGAATGGAAAGCAAAGAACAAGCGCGGTTCTGGAGGAAAACAAATTAGCGCTGGGAGAGGGTTAGGGGTTGATTATTGCGTTCCTTTTCTACAAGTGGTTAGATTCGATTCATTTATAATTGAGAATCTGGGTAGGGCTTGAAAAATATTGATACAAAAAGTAAACAGGGGCGGCTCAAGAAGAATAACTGAGCGGCATAGGGGGCGGGGATTGCTGAGGAGACTTTGAAGCTCTTGCATTAATTTTCTACATGTGCCTCGCTTAAATTCATTTATTGAATTCAAAATTACAGAGGATTTAGATATTTATATCCCATTCGTCGGAACCGTATTCCCTGGACCAACAATTTAAAATGTAAAGGTTGTGAAGTAAAACTGCTTACTATTATAAATGCACTTTGTTTTTCGGCGTTGATAGATAAAATGATATTTGAGTATTGAATATGATAACAGCCGGGATAAAAAGACTCACTAGATTGGCATAACTCGTTTTCAAATCCACATTCAGGGGCATCTCTGGGCGGTCCGATCCCCCCTCCCGGCCAAACTGGCTTCACCCCTGTCGTCTCAATCACACCTGTCTCTCCGTAATAGTTCGCAAGGACCTGTTGTATAAAAATATGACGGAAACCAATAATTAAATAACATGTAGCTCCTTCTCTTCGGGGAGATGGGATAGACCCTGGTATTTTGGGGGTTCCATGCCAATATAATCTCAGCAGAAAAAGAAAAACAGAAAGAAGGTGGACACTCTTTATTTTTAAAAAAATTGCATATAAACCGTCACTATTCAAATATGTTGAAAATATATATATATCAAATTAAAGAAAGATTAACACTCCAACAAAATCAATAAAGATCAAGTATTTAACTTTCACGCTTGAATAGGCATATTCATTTAACCGTAGGAAGGACTTATTAAAAAAAATAGACCATTTTCGTAAAGTTATCAAATTGAATACATTAATCTTTAAGTACCTACAAACATTAAGGCTTGTCCTACCTAACAACACGTAATGTTTGCAGTTTGCATTCTGACCATTGAAATATAACTATTTTTAACAGGTGAATGAAATAACTAGTAACGAGGCACTCAACTAAGATTTGGTTACATTTGGTTAAATTACGAAAATGGCCTTTTGCAAAAATATAGCAAGTAGCCATTGAAATGTTACATGCGCATCTGTGAGACAAGCTCATTCAATTCAGCAATGAAAACAACAAATGAGGAACAATTAGGAAGACTGAGTTCTGAATAGGGACTTTTAGATTCGCACGAAGACAATGGGGATTGCTACGATCGACGTCCTTTTAATGCACTGCCTCGAATGGACGTCACACGTATCAGTCCACGCAAATCTAAAAGTCCCTAATGTCATGGTTTTGACAAGCAAGGCCAAGGCTCCTCTCCTTTCCATCAAAGATCATGTACGATCGTGGATACCTACAATGCTAATCAACATTTGAATGGCCAGATGCCCCATTTTTACAATTTTCTTTTAGAGACTACTTTATTGTTAAATGGCTATACTCACTCATTCGGTATGATTCTAATTGCATATCATCTTAAACCAGGTTTATGTTTGTTCACTCGAAAATCTCAATTTCAAATATTGTCTACTTTTTGGGGTTTGCTGAGTGTACTCTAATAAAAACACTAGCTGTATTATTATTCCTGTAAAGAGGAATTGCACGTTTAAATAGATAAATGACACACAAAAGCGTTTATAGTTTTTTGATTATTCTATCTATTTTCTATTTATTTGTAAACGGAATCTGTATGAATTCCCTAATCAGAAAAGAGTGTGCTTAAATAGGACAACTGAATTGTCCGGCCGGATGTTTATGAAGCTGTCCATCAGTATTCAGTCTTTCTAAATTTTATATTTCACACACTGTTGTACATAATGATGCTTAAATCCACTCCTTGGGAATTTTTCCGAATAATCAAATACAACGGTGGTGACTGAAGAAGAAAACACACCTTTTTCTGTAAATTAACTATTAAATTTAAAAAGGAATTACATTCCTTATCATTTATTTATCTTTTATTGGATTGAACTCTCTCTCCCCCTTTATTGTTTAAATCAAACTCAAACTGTACCTCAAATGTGCCATCTTCAGTATTGGTCATATCCCAAAGTGAGTAGTCTCCACTGCGGTCACCGTTTTCGTTGATCGTTACTGTACCAGATATACCTGCCAGTAACCAAAGTATTTACAAATATTTTAAGTGTTAATGATGAAAACACGCTGTTAACACATTTTTAAATTAAAGATAAAGACCAGTTTTGGTCATGCGATTGCATTGTGAAAGAAACGTTGTGGAATCGATCAGGAAAGGTTGATCATCTAGCATATAAGTATTGGTGTGTGCTGCAAGGTTCTGGAATCATCAAAATGATAAGAAATTTTGCCCAGTCTTGGTAAAGTTACAAGCACTGTACACAGAAAGATGCGACTATGCGACACGTGCGCGATATCTATCCGGCCCGGATAGATGTAATAATTTACTAATATATCAATTAGAAGGCGGTTTCCCGGCAAAATTTGTATCATCACGTATTAATAAAAACATATTCTTTCACATGATTGGTAATAAGAGTTTCCATTTCATTTTTTGAGAGGGGGACGTTTCCAAAACTGGTCTATACCTTTAATACAAAACTGTTTTAGATATGACGCGGTAAACCATCGCAAATAAGGCCATGTAAATGAATGGCAACTGTGTATAACAAAGGTCTTGCGCGTATTAACTGAGCTCTGTTTTATGGTACAAAATGTGAAGCAAATTCCAAATTCATCATGATATTTTTTTTAACGATGCGTTTTTTTAAATTTACGCTTTTTAATTGAAAGCCCAAAACAGAAAAATTACACAGTGTTAACAAATATATATGTATATAACACAATGGTTAAAGTCCAGTTACATGAAATATCATGGATAGTGTCTCTCCATTACTTTATGTATCTAAATTGAGACACTTATTTTGTGACTGTAAGAAGGTACACATTTTTGGAACAACCTCACTGATACCATAGATAAATGTATAAGGCAATCCACTGTTTATTCAGACTTTGATTATGCATTTGGAGATGACATATGCAGTTGTCATGACACACGTCTCAAAGTGACTCGGTAACATTGTTGAAGGTTGATGAAAAAAATGCGTTATTTTTGTAACACGCTGTAAACACATTTTTTAATAGATATGGTGAGGTAAACCATCGCAAAAAGGCCATGTAAATGAAGGGAAACTGCGTATAACAAAGGTTTTGCGCGTTTTCACTGAGCTCTGCGTTTATGGTACAAAATGTGAAGCAAATTCCAAATTCATCAAAATATTTAATATTTTGAAACACGCCGCGTTTTGGGGTGTTGTATTTATGTCATTATTGAAAGCCAAAACAGAAACATTACACAAGAATAACAAATATATGCACATAATACAATGGTTGACTTGAAGATCCAGTTACATGTAACATCATGAATAGTGTCTCTCAATAATATTGTCTATCTAAATTGAAACACTTAGTTTGTGACTGTAAGAAGGTATACCTCTTTGGAACAACCTCACTGATGCCCTAGATAAATGTATAAGGTAATCAAATATTTATTCAGACTTTGATTATGTATTTGAAGTTGACATATGCAGTTGCCATGACTTACGCCTTGAAGTGACTCGGTAACATTGTAAATGGTTGGTAGACAAAATCTGTGTTTTTTTTTGTAGTATGAAATGTTACTTATTTTATTCCTTTTACTGTACTCACCCTCTAACATGCAAAAATCCTGAAAGAAATTCTCAAACCGCAAATATAATTATCGTTTCTTTGAAGGCGTCACTGTGCAAAACCCTCTAACAGTTAATTTTTCCAACCGTTTATCCATGAAAATAAGACATAGACTATTAAGACAGGCATTTAAAATTCTTTCAACACTTAAATGTCTGAAATGATACATAGAGCCAATTCATTGCTTTGTGACGGTTTACATTCACCTAAAATATAATTAAATTGCAATAATATAGTCAGGAAAATTATAAATCAGATCAGTTATCCAAATTGTTATCATAAATAATGGTTTGTTTACACTCAAACTTCCAGATTATCTTTAATTGTACATCTAGCATTGAAGTCACTACCTTAGCACCATTTTCTCTCATCTTAACAATGTTACCAAGTCCCTAGTTAAATAAAAATCTTATCAAATCAAATCAAATCAATCACCTTTGAATGATCTACCCCACATCTTCCTAGTGATTACATAACCATCCGAGATGTTCCCTCCTTCAGCTAGAGTCTCATTCACCGCCAAGCTGTACAGAATCACAGCATCATGAAAAGCACTCGCAAAGTAATTATTCTGCAACGATTAAGAATGAGAAATTTGAAATTTAGTTTATGCGCGGTTGTAATATTTTTTATGGTGCTTCTTTGAAAACATGGAACGCGTTGGCCCCAAATTTAGAAATTATTCTGCTACGATAAAGAGCGAGAAGTTATGAGTCTCTTAATTTTGTGCACTTTTGCAATATTTTGGAGGTGCTTCCTCGGAAATAAGAAAACATATGCGGAGTAACACATCTAACAGTTCAATTTCATTTCAATTTCGGTCTTATTGTTTAAAAATAAAACAAAATTGCACAATTCCGTAGACTAATATATTCATACTAACAATAAAATACAGAAAACATGATATAAGGTTATAAATTGCACATGTACATGTAAAAGTTCAATAACAAACTCTATGACGGTTTCTGCAAATAAGACCAATGTCAATGAAATCTATCACTGGGGTCTTCCGCCCGTCTAAAAAATAACAAAAGATATTTTTTTTTTAATAAAAAAAAAAACGTTACAGCGCAATTTCCGTTATACCAAATACTTTATGGAAAGTGATAGGTCGTGCCAAAGCTTCGGTGACGCATAGAAAGAAAGAAAAAAGTTAGATTACAAGACATTTCATTTTTTAGAAGCAACCTTCAATACACTGCTTGTGATTTGGCTGGATTAAAATATTGCCTTGGTTTTCAATACTTTATGATTAACCAGATATTTGAACGTCCATTCAGACATGTGACGTAGATGAGCTTTTGAAAATAACCTTCGGCTTTGTGCCCCGTCAGTCACTTTTCAGAATGCTTCTTTCTCCGCTCCGGATTTCAGGCTATATAAAGGCCCCGCTAATCTTTTCACTTTGAAAACTTGCAATATCGTATAAAGGCAGGAAATGAACGAGAGTTCTTTTGATACTAAAACACAATAACGGAAATTTTCGCCCTTTCCCCCTCTTTTTACGAAGTTTAAGGTTGCAGATAACAGATATGGTACAAGTTAAAATTATTAATTTTGGTAATTAAGTACCTACATGTTTACAGGAAACTATCAAAGCCTTTCTATTTGTAATAATAGGAAGGAAACTCAAGGCCATAGTTCGCATGCGACAGAGAATTGACCCATTTTCTTCTTGATTTAAGAATATAATATAATATATATATACATGTATATATCCATGTAATTTTCTTCAGATTTGTACTCCCTCGTCCTCCCTTTGTCAGAACCATAGACAAGCTTAGAATAAACGTGTACTTCACATCTTTATATATTGTTATTCTTACAGTAGGGGGGAATAATCATTTAAAATTTCATTTTTAACTTGACTTGATATATAAAATGTATTCCTCCTGATATCATCACGAATGTACCTTCCTCTCCCTCTTCGCTTCTCTCTGTTCCTTCTATTCCTATGCTCTTTTTCTATCTAGTTTCTTCTTTCCTAATTAACCTAATTTGTATGCATCACTGTATTGTTATTTTCATTTTCGAGAGGGCGGTCTGTTTAAGCTTATGCTTAAGACGACCCATTTTTTTTTTCTTTCTGTGTACACCATGTCATTATCATACATCTAAAGTTACAAGATTGTAAATATAAATATTTTGATTTAAATGGAATGAATAAACATCAAAACAAATCAAACTTGGAAACTCAATTTGTTAATATTTTTAGCAGAGTAATAGTTGATGAGTCCCGAATCAGATCATCTAGTAAAAAATATTGTATTGGTGGAACATATCCTGCTGCCATTGACTGATGTTCATTTTTGAACGAGTGTTCCAGGGGGTTTACGAAACGGTCTCACGGTCCCCTAAGTTGGGACTAGTCCCTACACATTATACATACATGGTCCGGATCAGGTCTTGTCCAGTTGTAGTCCAGGATCTCTCGTCGTTCAAGCTCCCTTTGGAACGCTCTGTATTCATCAGTTTGCGGTTTGAAGAGACGAAATATTAGTAGGGATTCGTAGGCCTTCTTCGCGTCATCATCCCGACCGTCATTCTAAAGACAAAAAAAAGTTTGATGTAATCATTAAAATAATGACAATAAGATAATTATCGTTCTGAATAGGTCATTATACATCGGATTCGTAGGCCTTCTTCGCGTCATCATCACGACCGTCATTCTAAAGACAAAAAAGTTTGATGTAATGATTGAAATAATGACAATGATAGCATAATTATCGTTCTGAACAGGTCATTACACATCAACACTGTAAAAAAATAATAGTCGAAATAACTCATTAAAATTGAGGAAAAGAATTGCCTTATTTTTATTAAGTAAATATTACCTACGGCATCTTAAGTAGAATTTACTTATTTTGCTGAATAATTTTTTACTCAGTTAAATCGAGTTACATTAACGTAAATAATTTAAGTATTGTAATCATTTTAGATAATTAAAAAAAAGCTATAATAGGATTACATATTGCACGATTTGGTACTCATCTAATCTAACAAGAAACATCCTCTAATCATTCACTACTTCTATTTAAGATTTAACCGTATATATATATATATATATATCTACCACCATCACAAACTATTACATACGCTTCAATTCGACACATATTGAAAGGCTCCAAATTTTATATATACTTGATCGTAGCATCTTAAAAGGAATATTGGTTGACAATTTCCTGAAATATAAAGTTTTGATTTGTTTTGAACTGGGTAACAATTAAAAATTGTCTTGTCTTTGCTTAGCCATGTTAAATGAATTAGTAAATGTTTTAAAGTCCTTAAATTTTCATTCAACCACAAAAAAGAATTGTTTTATTTTAAAAAGAGTTTAATTTGGTCTCAATGAATATTCATAAATTATGTAAATATTTCTATTACGCACTGCATCGGTCCTTACTTTAAAAAGATAAGAATAATCAACATAAATTGTTTGAGTAATACGTATAATTTCTGATTTTGAGTTAAAATTACTAAATTAATACAAGCTGAAATTACTTAAAGTTCTTAAGTATTTGATTTTACTTAAATAATCCACGTATGTTCTACTAAATTGAAAGTTTGCGTTAGCAAGAATTAAATTTAGTGCGTAAGTGGCAAAACTAATGTTTTCAAGTAAATTCTACATGGAAAAAATACGTAAAAATTACCAATGAACAAATTCTTTTTTACAGTGAAAGAGGTGTCGGAGTCCAGTGTTTGAACATTTGACTGGAAATGCAAGGGTCGTGGGTTTGATCCCCAACACGGCTCTAATGTCCTTTGGCAAGGCGTTAATCTACATTAATTTTTGCCACTCCATATCCAGGAGAGAAATGGGGACATGGCAGGATGACGAAAGCCTACGTTCTCAAAGCTCTGGCTTACTGTCTTGTTACTCCTAGGGTTAAAACAAAGTTGGGGAGCGAACCTTCGCTCATGCTGGGCCTTCGTTATGGAATACTCTCCCTCGATGGATAAAGAATAGCACCTCTGCTTAAGTGTTAAATAACAATCTTAAGAAATATCTGTTTAATTTAGCTTATAATTAATTACCATAACCTTTCATGTCTGTACCTTTCCTATTGCACTCTGTATAAAAGTATCATGCACGTATTTCATCTTTTGCACAAATTGCGCCTTGAGCATTTGACTGTCAAGTGGATTTGGCGCCTTATAAATCTTATGTATTATAGGGCACATTTAGGGTTTGGAGCTGGTGTGATCACCACACCATTATTTAGCACAAGATTGGAGCCAGCAACCTTGACAACTTGGCAATTATGACGTCACACGGCCCTACTTTTTCCTTAAGGTCTTTGCGATCGTGTAATTTGTTTAATTTCTGACAGCTTACTTGTTTCCAGTTATCATCTCCAAACACCAGAGTGTTGCTGAACGGCTCGATGCTGACGAAGGCGTATTCGCCGTCAACGAGTCCGGTGTCGAAAGCGTGTAGCATGGCCTCACGAACCAGTTCACCCTGGGCCGATAGGATGATGACTGCAGTCAAAGAAAAAAGAAGGGCATTAATCCTGATTAAAGGGCAACTCTAACCCAACTAACATAGCCTTTTCAAACATGAATACACCTCTACTTATTAATATCCCAGCCTCTGGTTTTTCAGAAAATCTCTGTATTGACCAAAAAATGATAATAACCATCCATTTTTTCACAGTTCTCACGCTTGCTAGGCTACGCCCCTCGAAAAAAGGTAATACGGTCACGTTGCCTTGATGACGCATTTGACGTCATTGCGGGCATGTCCGATTTGACCTACAACTAAGGATCTTACAATCTCATTGCAATTCATAAATGAAATGTACTGGGATTAGCAAGTATATATTATTTTTCGGATAATTTTTTTTTTTCATTAATATCATAGGTTGCCTTTAAACAATATTTGATGCCTAAATCACCTTCCTTTTCACCGGAGAGGCTCCTGCAGTGACGTCATAAACAGTTGCGCAATACAGCTCCGAAACTGGGCCTTTTTTAGAGTTCAGAGTCGTCATTTTTTAAGCTAGATTCCAGAATTATTGATGATTTATCAGAAATATCGGAACCTCCGTCAAAAATTATTCTACATGTCTTTTTTCATTTTTTTAGCCCGTTTTAAGCCTCTCATAGTTCAATAAGCCAGTTCCGAGATACTATCTGCGCATGGGCAGATAGAGATAATTTTTTACAAAACTGTAAAACCCATCGAGTTATCTAGGGCAATGTGATCACCTCATCAGAAGGGTGAAAAGAAGACAGCAACAATGGATTTTGGCATGTAACTAGATGGAAAAAAGCTCTTTCCATGGGATTGTTTGTTAGATGCGGATTTCATTGGTCTTCGAAACATATTGTTGAATTTTACACCAAATCCGCGGTTCTTTCATTTTCCTCATATCACCTAGGTCAAGATTTCGTTGTCAACGACATCTATTCATGACCTTCATTTCTTATTTATCATGAAATGTCTTGTCAATCAACTGCTGATTCAGTCTGTTGTGTTCATTCGTGTACAGGGTTTTTTGATAAACATCTTTTGTTTTGCGACGGGATAGCAGTAATGATTATTAGCGGTTGTCTGCCATTCTAAAGAAATGTGATAGGTCATTATCCATCAGATCGATACGACTCTTCGAATCTACTATTCTATTCATCGCTACTTCGACCGTGAACTACATTCTAATGGGATAATTTGCAAAAAAAATGCTTAAAAATCCTTCTAATGCGGACAAAATAACTTGCAAAAGCACTTTATGCATCTCGTATTATATTCAGCATAAATACCATGTCAACCATGTCAATATAAGATGCTTGTTTGTTTGTTTGCTTGTTTTATTTACGTATAAAAAGACAACATGCATTCAGTAAAACAATAACGAATAGAATAATGAATTGCAAGATAAAATAAACGGCTGGATAGCCCAAATTCAGCGGTATCCTAATGATGCCGCTGGTCTTTCATTGGGACCATAAATAGTACAGTAAAACAATACATTATACATAATGCCGATTTATATTCAAAACGATTCTCCCCGCTCTTTTCTGGAGATTCTGTAACTGATCAGAAGATCAAAAGATAACGACGAAACTTTGTTTGCATACCCACAATACGATAGAATAACAGATTGATGTATGATTTTCAAATTTATTTCATTTACATGTCTCAACCGCCCAAGAAATCCAACCATTTTTTCAAATTTTGTACCACATGTTTTCAATATGAATGTTCCATTTCAATTCTATATCGATGATAACATTTAGGTATTTTGTCCCCCGAACTTTCAAAACTAATTTATCGTGTTTTTCCCATCATTTTTTATGTTGTAATTAACATACCCACAGTCTTGTTATAGTTAATATTCATTTTATGCCGAGATATCCATGTATGTAATCTAGTTAGCACCGTGTTCAGAACTCACTGTACAACAGACGGATTGGTATGTGAGTAATATAACACAGTGTCATCCGCATATAGATGTATTTTGTATTTTTTAAAGAATGAGGCATATCATTAATAGCTATGACGAACAATGATGGGCCCAGTAGAGAACCCTGAGGCACCCCACCGGTCAATCATACTGCTTCAGAAACTACATCATAATACAAGTCACTGTCTTTCGATCAACCAAATAGCTCCTAAACTACTGTAGCGATTCACATGTGACACTTATTAGTAAGAGCTTTTTCAAAAGTATTTCAGTATCCACCAAATCGAAGGCTTTTTGTAGATCAACAAAGACCGACGACCCTGTGTTTAACCAGTCGTTAGTCACTTTGACAAGCGCAGTACACAATGGATGTTTTTTCTTCTGAAACCAGATTGGTGTGAAGATACAATATCGTTTACATTTAGATGTTGAATCAGGTGTTTCTGTACTATTCTTTCGAGAACCTTACAAATACATTGTAATAACAAAACTGGCCAATATTTATCTGGGTCATATTTGTCACCCTGCTATGGATATTGTTATACTTAATTTATGAAGATTTAGCCTTCGCTGCTATTTATCTGTGAATCTTCTTTGACAAAAAAAGATGTATTGAATAAGTTATTCGGATCATCCTTCCAAAAACCATTCACTCACAGTCACCCCATCGATTAAGGACAGTGCCTTCGAGTTCACGAGCACTTTCATACCCTTTTCCTCCTCACCACAATAATTTCTTTTCAAGGCAACCGCCACGACAAGCCGTTTCACTCTAGTCTCTGTTCATCTAAAGAATTAGCTACTTTACTTTACATTAAAACGCAAAGATCATGCTTCCCGGTTGTGAATCAGACTCTCCCAATCACTTAAAGTTAGCGAGACTGTTGATGACTTTAAGAGAGAAAACAAGATTTCTCCTGAGTATGTTTTGTTATGTTTTATTGTAAGCACTTTGAGCGCCATCTGAGTAGATAAGACCAACCTTAATTATGATATTGATTGTGTCGAATTGGGGGGGGGGGGGGGGTTGGAAGGGGAGCAAAACCGGCCAATGACCCCCTTTTTGAAAAACCATCTGGCAAGTTCCTTAAGTACACTACAAATATTTATCCCCTCTCATTGTGGCTTTTCCTCTCTAAGATTACCCCCAAAACCTCTTTACAACATTCTGGATCCACCCTTCTTCATCCACGTCGACATAATTCAAATATTCGTGACTATTATGTTCCAGTTTCATAATTTATAAACTAGCAGCCCTTAGCGATATTTTCTCTCTTTTTCTTTTGTGCAAAACCCCCCATTATCAGCTTTCATTTAATAAATTGAACACCCTTTTCTCCCCGTACTTTCCATCAAGTATAGGCACGATTAAATGAAAACCTGTCATAATCGTGATATACACCAATATTGTCTCTTTCATTAATAGAAACCAAGCAAGGTTACTGCCCAATTGCTTATTCATTTATGATTACCATCTTTATCAAATTTTAATGACTGCCAATCCAACCTTCATCACCATTATAATTGTCTGCTAGTTATGGTGTCCGTGAGAAATGTTTGCGAAAATCATTATGAATTATTGATATAGCATGGTTATAACGTCAGCCAATCTAATATACATTATAACGAAACTACAATCATGTTTTGCGATAATTAAAAGGGTCCAAAGTTACCCTATCGTTGTATAACAAATTATAAAAAATCTTTGTCGAAAACTCCTTCTTTTAAAAAAGAGGCATATTTTGGATAATTTTGTATACGACATAGATCCAAATACCAAAACTGATCATCATTATTTCACCTATTTTTTTTTTTACCTTGATCACCTGTAAGCGTATAGAAGCACGAAAGCAAATAATGTTACCCCTGCAAGTAGGACATAATAAGCCAATGTTGACAATGTAATTGATCGGTATATCAGAGATAACAGATAACAGATGTCAGGAGTGGGGATCCTTCACTATGAACATAACGGACAAAGAAAGCGGACAAAATATACAGTTCCTCAGGTAGATAAAGGAACATCCCTTCACTGCTAATATGTAAAAAGGTGAATATGCATGTGACACCTGTTCTACACATTTTTACATAATAGCAGTGAAGGGATGTTCCTTTGTCTACATGAGGAACTGTATATTTTGTCCGCTTTCTTTGTCAGTCATGTTCATAGTGCTTTCACTACGGCGCGGCGGTACGTTTCTCTACCACACGGCGCAGAGATTGAAATATGATATTCTAGCCCCGAAATGCGTAACGAAATGCATACTGAAATCACAAAAGCGGAATGCTCTTTAATATCCTGAAGAGGGTAAAGAGGATCATTGCTTACCTGAATCTTCTCACATAGAGACTACTGTACGTTTAATAAAAAAACACAACAAATCGTACCTAGAAAAAGTTGTTTGTTTGATTGAACTTAAAGGCATTTCATCTATAAATGACTATTTATGCCTTAAGAGAAGGTAACTAGTAGAACATTTGATTATACTTCTGTACTGTATGGTAATAGTCACAGGGCTTTATAGTTTTTGCCATGGCGATGAACGAGGCGTATTCAGAAAATGATTTTAAGAGGGGGGGGGGTGGAACCATTCTATACCGACGTATGCTTAAAGTATCTGCCCAACCCTCCATGCTGTAAACTCCATTAGAAGTTCTCTTGATTTTTTTTTCCTAGGCGGGGTGGGAAAAGGAGCACTCCGGCTTTCCCATAAGCTGGCTCTACGCCGTCGACAAGTACCGTGATTTATATCGTCACCGACCATGTTATACATGCCGGCGGATTTATGTACCCTGATCTAATGCATAAAATTAGTTTCACCTGTAGCAGGAAATGCAGTAGGTTTATGCAGGCCTAATAATGCATCGGTGTTGCTCTCACGGAGGAAAAAAGTGTGGGATATCATTTACGTTTACGGAAGGAAAATTCATAAAACGCTTGGGAATTTCTAGCAAAGTTTGATATTCCTAAAACTGGTAATGAAAGAACTTTCATTCTACCTAACGATTAACACACTCGCTTATCGATAATTACAAATGTATTATTCAGGTCACACAACAGTCGACTGATAACACAACAATTAAAAATTGCCCATGCCCATTTCGGTGAGAGAGAGAGAGAGAGAGAGAGAGAAGGGAGAGATGGAGAGAGAGAGAGAGAGAGAGAGAGGGGGGAGGTATGGACAGAGGAAGGGGTGGGAGTGGGACAGAGACATACCGATGAGAGATACAGAATGAGTGCCAGAATTACAATTAGAGAGATAGAAAAAGAGAGAGAGAGAGAGAGAGAGAGATGGGGTGGAAAAAATTAAGAGAGTGTGAGAGAGTGAAATTAATACTAATGGTGATGGCAATAATAATAATAATGATAATAATAATAATAAAAACAATACTGATAAGAGACGCACATTGTGAATAGAGAGCCTGGAATGGAGAGAAACATATAGAAAAGACATACAAGGAATGGAGAAAGAGATTTAAAAGAGAAATATGAAAATAAATGGCAGAATTATACTATAGTATAGGAAATCAAGGCTTTAATCTATCAAAAACTTACTTCTTGACACAGCTGCGGCAGCGTCTAATGCATCTTTTATCGACCCATAATCTCTGAGATCGAATTCGTACATGGTGACGTTTTCTTGGGTCTCCATCAATTCTTTCATGGCGATTGCAATGAGGGACGAGTAGCCCGGATACTGCCAGACCAACGCGAATTGACGCCATTCGTATTCCTCGAAAAACGCCACGACAGCTTTCGCAAGCACTCCAGTTTTGAAAGACGTGCGAGTGAGGGTTCGATATCGGCTTTTGTCGTCGAGGACGGCCGATGTCGAGACGCCAGTCACGACGGGGAGGTTCCAATAGGCGGCGAGGTCGGCGATTCCCACAGTTTCGTAGCTGCACGGCGAGCCGAGGATGCCGTCCAGCGAGTAGCGACGGTAGAGCTCGGCGGCGACCGCTGGAGCCTCCATGACCGGCCGTCCACAATCCGGTCCTGTCTCGCGAAAGACGTAAGACATCGAGAAGTTGAGGTAGAGACCTCGCGCCGCCCCGTTGTTCACCTTCTCGAAGGCGATGTCGATGGCGGGGCGCAAATGGATTTCATTGAGATTGTGTGGAGGGCCAGTGAGAAGAAGGGCTAGTAGAATCGCAGTCATTGTTGAACGTCGAAATTAAAACCAGGAAATATGTCTTGAAAATTATTTCATTGCCAGATACACAGCACACTGTAACTGCAGACAATAACATCAAGACATATCAAAACGGATCAGTGTCACTATATTCTCATATCTCACTTTGTTTGATATGCGCGCGCACGTTGCAAAATCACGAACGCCGGTGTCGTGTGCATACACATTAGTCACACCAAGATCGATAGCAGACAGATGACAGACCGAACCAAAATATGACACTATCGGAAAGTGTTTTGGTCGGCTGGGAGACGGTTTAGTGGTGTGACCGGTGTATTACGTTTTGTTGTAGCAGATCGATGAGTTCAGTAGATGATGTAGAAACAGCCAAGTTATTTTGATCAGGGTCGCGCGCCGCCGACGTTGCCGAACGCAATCAACGTGATCAATGCCTTTTCATACTGAGTTCGACCTCGTGTTACTTTGACAGACCCTTCGATTAAATTTTACAAATCCATCTTCTTTTGAGTTAGAGGTGAATTTTGATTGCTCTAAACATCTTTGCTTACCTTTAAAGGCGTTTTTTGTGTGGAAGGTATAAATATCATCACAAGATGTTACCGTGAAAGTAGCTGTAACCATGGTAACTGGAGGTGCGATGGCTCATTGGTAAAGCAGTGGTCTCGTAGCCCAGAGCTTCCGGCGTTCAATAAATCAAGTCAGTGTGCTAGTGCCCTTGCAGACATTAGTGCTTATTACCAAGTACCTTGGAGAGTGCTTAAAGCCGTCGGTTCCCCGGTTGCTTCCTTAAAAGCATAGGCCTACTATTGCTTTATCAGCACTCAGGTAAAACACTAATCCATTATCAATTTCATTTTTTTTTTTTAAATCATTTTATTCCTGGGTTGTATAATCAGGGGGAAATTTATTTCAAAGATGAAATTATCCCTTTAGTAAAGTATGTAATACATACTTTATATTTTATTTATATTTGTAAACAGTTTATTTACATATAGGACTTTAAAAATCGTACAGGCCTTTTTCTCAATATGCATTTTGCGCAGGCATAAGGAAAGTGTATTCTTAGCAAAAGAAAATCAAATTCATGATGACATATCATGTAAGAAACAAAGAACTGCTCACACTGCCATCACATATTCACGTGGCTATGCGATGTATGTATATAAACAATAATCTTTATGAATTTAAAGCCACACTGTCCTACTTGTAGCTACTTGCTCCCTCTATATAGAAAACTGCCCAATCGATGCCTGCATGTTGGTCCCCCATGATCCCCTTTTTCTTAGGTTAATTGAGAGCTGAGTTAATGAGATAGCCACCTGTCAGTGACCTCGCTGTGTGGTCTAATCCCTTCTGGCCGAACTAGGACAGTCGGCCTTTAAAGAGTTTTTATTTTATTTATGTATTCATAATTATATACATGGTAAAAAGTCTAAACAGTGACAAGACTGGATTCCATTTAATGACAATGGCATATTTTATACATATAGATGAAACATGAGAAAATGAAAAGCAATGGCATAAAAATATTACTTCTCTCTCTCTCTAATGCCTAAGTCACATATAAACCGGGCCCCGTACGATTTTCCCTACCCGGCGGCTTGCCGTGGATTTAGAGACCGTACGGGAACCGTCCGATTTTCATTTCTACGGCAGGTGTGGTCACATATTCTGCGGCGCCCGGGAGGTGCCCGGAGAAAATTGGTCGAGTGAAATGCAAGGCGCCCGTAAGGGTGCCGGCAGGGTGCCGACCGAGTGCCGACCGGCAACCTTACGGGCTCCGTCCGATGACCAGGTGTACCGATGGGTCCCGGAAGGTGCCCTGCCGGGGGCCGGCCAGGGTCCTCAAGGCGCCCGGCCGGGTGCCGTGCGGTGCACTGAACTACAGAGCGAGTCAGAAAAATTGTCCCACTTTTTAAAAGTTGTATTGTTTGAAGTATGAATATTTAATCATGGGTTTCATGATATATCTTGATAGAGCACGATCCTCCTAATACATTTAGGTACCATTTTCATTTGAATCTCTGCATGCATCACTGAATAAAATATCCAGAAATGGACAATACTAAATTGAAATTGAATATCAGACAATCTTTACAAGACTGCCAGATCTCACTTGCGCCAAGTTACTGGAGAGGAATAAAACAGTGCATTGAACAAAGGCAGTCAGACACGCGTACACGCACATGCACCCACACACACGCACACATGCACACGCACATAAATGAGCATTCCATTCCCGACAAGGCCCACCCAATTGCAAACTGTTACTTTTTGTCGGGAATTCTTGTTATCGTACGATAAGTTGAGTGGCCACTGTCCTCTAATTGGTGCGTATTGGCAGATGTTGTGCTTCATGATGATGATGATGATGATGATAATGATGACGATGAAGATTAAGATGATGGCAATGATGATGATGATGACATGATGGTGGTAGTGAATGTGTACAAAAGGGAAAGATTTTTATGGTTATGCCACTTAAACATTCAGTGATCTTGATAAAAATCAATGCTCAATCACAAAAGGGGTAAGTATGAAACAATTGTCATCGTGTGCGTTGTGTGTGCGTATGTGTGTGTGTGTGCGTATGTGTGTGTGTGTGTGTGTGAGAGTGTGCGTGTGCGTGTGTTTGTGTATTTTTGTCTGTCTGGCTAATTGGATAATTGAAAAAAACTGGCTGTCTTTGTTCAAAACATTTTTTTATTCCTCACCCAGCAACTTGGCTCAAGTGAGATCGATCTAGCAGTCTTGTAAAGATTGTCTGATGTTCAGTCATGCATGCAGAGGTTCAAATGAAAATGGTACCTAAATGTACTTGGAGGATAACTCTATCAAGACATATCATGAAACTCATGATTAAATATTCATACTTCAAACAATACAACTTTTAAAAAGTGGAACATTTTTTCTGACTCACTCTGTAGGTGTCCTCTGGTATCCGCATCTCCTGTATTTAAAACTGCGTTGTACATTTCGAGATGCCGCCGTGAGGGACCCGCACGGGCAATATTCATTTTAAATGGCCCCCGGACGGCAGACGCCTATTGTTGTGCATATCACCCGGGGCTCTTGAGGGGCCCGTGAGGGCGCCGTAGGGTACACGTACGGAACCCTTGAGCACCGCAAGGCGCCCGTAAAGATTTTTCATGAAAATTGACCCCCAAAATCGTGAGGGGCCCGTCCGGGCACCGTCCGGAGCCCGCACGGGACCCGTAAGGTGCCCCACGGGCCCTTTACGGGCTTTCTACGGGCTAACGGTCAGATAAAAACGCCGGGAGAATTGGGAGCAGCCGACTCAGCACCACGGCGCCCGTACGGCTTAGAAAACTGTCCCGGCGCCCGTAGGAACTTGACGGCAGCCGGCCGGACACCGGCCGGAAATTCCCAAAATGTCTGTTTTTACTCGCCGTACGGGCCCCGGAGTGTATATGTGACAGAGGCATAAGTGCCATATCGTTTGACTTTGGCGATCATGCTGTTCCACAACCCTCGGCTCCTAGCCTTCTGTATTAGTACCACTCCCAGTTCTTTCACTCCTCTCTCTTCCAACAATTTCTGCAGACTGTCCATCTAAAGTATCCTCCTTCTTCCCCTACTCCTTCTTCCCACAATTTTCCCCGTCAAAGCAAAATTCTCTAGGCCTTCTTTACGTGTAATGTGACCCATGAACTTCAACTGCCTAATCAACATCTCACGTATCATTTTCCTTTGCACTCCAGCTCGTGTAAGAACTTCCTTATTACTAACTTTGTCAGTCCAAGGGATTTTCATCATTCTTCTTAGAAATCACATTTCGCAACTTTCCAAACGCTTTTTAGTATCAGAGGCTTAAGTCCATGTTTCACTACCATACATAAGTACTGGGTAGATGTAACAATTCAATACCCTTGTTCTGGTCTTCATACACATTGTTCGATTTGTCAGAATTTTGCCTAACTTTGAAAATGCAGATTTAGCGAGAGCTATCCTTCTCTTGATCTCTGTCTCGCATCTGGCATCCTCGGTAATCATGCTGCCGAGGTAGTTAAATGAGGAGACTTGTTTAATAGTCTGTTCTTTCAGTTTCAAGTTACATTTTGGACTGCTCTTCTTGGATATCACCAGGCACTTTGTTCAAGTTCAAGTTCAAGTTCGTTTATTTATATCATTTCCATAAAAAACACAGCAAATGCAAATAAACATACAAGTATATATACATACAAGGAATGGTCAGTTGTTACAATAGTTTCAAATGAAATTGGAGAACATAGGAAAAGCCCATGGTGGCTTTGTATAAAAAGTTCCCCGAATATTATAATTTATATTATTTATATTATTGAGCATATATGAGTTCGAGATATCACAAAATACAGCAATAAACACAATATAAAGACAAAAAACAACAAACATATGTATGAAATAATCTAAGATTGGAGGCGGGGGGGGGCAAAAAGGTTTGGAAGGTAAATTTAACGGTACTCAGAATAAAAGCTCTGTTTCATTTTTGTTTTAAATATTGGACTGTTTTTATAAAAGCGGAGGACTTGAGGTAGAGTGTTCCATATGTTTGGCAAAGTATTTCTTACAGATTTTTTAGAAAATGAACTTTTTACTTTCCATAAATGAAACGTGTTACAAAGCCGAGTATTGTGAGTATGAATTTGGTTATTGATCGAAAATATGGAGGATATTCTTTTTGGAAGTATATTTTGAAAAAAATAAAAACCAATTAGTGCAGTATGGTATTTGAACAAATCAAAAACATTTAGGGTTTTTAAACGAAGAAATAAAGGAGCAGAGTGGGCATAACAATCACTACCTGTACAAATACGTAGAGCCTTCTTTTGTAATTTGAAGAGGGTATTAATTTTTCCATGACACGAATTTCCCCAAATACTTATACAATATGTAAGATAAGGTAATATAAGTGAGTTGTACAAAGTAAATAAAATGGGAAATGGTACATGAAATTTTAATTTATATAAAACACCAATAGATTTTGATACCTTGCTTATAACATTATC